ACAACCATAAAACACTGTTACAAGACGACACACACACACACACACACACACACATACACACACACAGCCACACACATTCACACAGATACGCACAAGCACACACACACACACACAGCACAAACGAAAACATACACACATACACACACACACACACACACACACAGCCACACACACAAGCACACACACACACTCACGCACTCAATCACTCACAGATACACACGCACAAACAAACACACACACAAACACACACACTGACACATACACACACAGCCACACGCAAACACACAATCACAGACATACTATACACGCAAAATCAGAATTTTGTTTGTCTCATACAGTATCTTTCATTCCTTTCATTTTCTGAGTGTGTTAGGATGAGACTAGTTTATTATGATCAACTTTGTTGTCTACTTCTTAAGTCCGAACAATTCAATTTACCAATCTCTTAAAGGTATCTTATTGGTACTCCCGATCCACTTCTGATCAGTCTAAGGTTTCGTAGGTCATTGTGGGGACTTCAAGAGATACATATAATAGCCTGAGGTCAAGATGTAATCAGTAGACAGCCAATTACAAAGTGCACAGGTCATAGAGCTTCTGTTGTGAATGTGGGAAATCTGACACACAATCGGAAAATATACGATGTTGTAGACACACATTGTACCTTTCATGAAGTCAAGGACAACACTCCAAACAATACGTTTTTTTATTCACATAATATGTATATTTATTGAGTATGAGGCAAAAAGCAAGAGTTGCTTATATAACACCTTCTACTCAAAAACATACAACGAGTATAAAACACATTTCACAAGATACATGCATACAAGATAAATACAAACAAGACAAGTTGGTGATTTATCAATTACGAGAATCTAATGAAGTTTTGGACTATATCAAAACATTACAGTAAAATTTACGGTAAAATTTACAATGTAGTAAGTAGTGTTCAGTTGTTTCACTATGGTAGCCACATTTACATGTAGGGTAATCAATACGTTCTCAACGTACGTCTGTGTGGAACCTGTCGAGAGTATCTAGAGACGTGTCTTTTGTATAGATCAAGTTGAAATGTTGTGAGCTCACCACATGTTTTGTGTAACACTATATCGGTTCACTAATTAGCATGTGGTTTGTTTATTGTTTTTTAAAGTCTTGGGGTAACCAATACCCTGTTCAAGAACAACAAAAATATACAAGAGATTTTTTTTTTCTTGGTCGGCAGGTCTTTGAATATGAAGACCATTTCTCAAAACCATATTTATCCAAGATGATCACGTATACGGTAACGTTATGAAAAAACTATAGCGAGTATAAATTGTGTATGTCTTGTGATAACCAATACCCTGCACAAGAACAACAAAAATATACATTTTTTTCTTGGTCGGCAGGTCTTTGAATATGAAGACCGATTCTCAAAACCATATTTCTCCAAGATAATTCCGTATGGTTATAAAACTATAACGTGTATAAATTTTTGTATTTTTGTTTACGAATTATCAGTTGCAAACAAGTGTTCCAACATATGGGGAAGTATTGTTGTTAAATGAGTACTAAGTACCCCCTTATACCCACCAATCAACATACAACTAAATCTATAGATAAACATACAAACAGGTAGACACGTTTTTATTAGCGAAGATTAAGGATGGTGATATGACAGTCTTCTTCTTCTTCTTCCCTTTACGTGCAAACCTCAATTGGTTGAGGGCTCCAGCACGGTGGGGATGGGGGTATTAGATGGGGTGGTCGCTTGTACAAGTTTTGTGTGTGTATGTTGTGGTCTGGAGCTCCTCAATGGGCAGGGGCGCCACTCCCTGTCCGCCACCGAGAGCAGGGTGGCGGTGAGTACAGTAGCAATGGAGATACCATATTTTCATGATCATGAGGTATTAGTCTAAACAATGTTGTCAATGAGACGTTGGTCGAGCCTAGGTCGTCTGGCAGTCAACTTTGTCCCCTTTCATGTGCTTTCAAGCTGACACGTAGCCTGGGGGTAAACGGTCATAACAACGGAATCTGTGTAACCTATGAGATTTATACCAATTTTAGGGAGATTTTATACATCAATAAACGTGACTGTTGTGATTATACAATATTATCTAAATCCCTTTTGTGTCAGCTCTGCAGTATTGTATTATTTTCTTCGCCAATTCATAATACGACCTGGGAGTTCAACAACAAAGTTCGCCGTCTTCCCTCCGCATGATTTCACCATTATTACTGTTCTTTGTGGCGTTAAATATCTTTTCAATTCACAAAACTCGAACAAGAGGAAAGTATGTGTGGCGGTGTGTAACTCGCAGGCGGAGTGAGTTAGTTTACACACACTTCGGCGTTGTCATTCTGGTTCAAACCAGCTGTGACCACCGACATCTGGAATGGAGTGGTTTGAGGGTTCTGGGATATTGTTGTTTATTGTAGTACGTATTCAACGTACTCAGAACAATAGAGAGGCTTGGTGTGTGCTTAGGTCATGCTGGCGTACTAGTATAGTTTCTTTCTTAGTTATTTCCAGGTATATTGTACACTGACAGCACAAATTCCAAGCAATCTTGTGTAGAACAAAAGAATCGAACGTCAGATGTTACTTTCTTTCAAGAGATGCAAATCAGAAAACCGTGTTGAATTTGAATATCTATATACAAGTAACTCATTTTTCAGTTTTGAAAATACACAGGGTATCTTTTTGTGACTCTATTTCTCTATCGTTACAAAACAAAGTACAGACTTGTCTTAAAAATGCCATCAACTTAATGGAATGGTTTTAGCATTTGATGATCAAAATTCAGTAATTCAAAGTGCAACCAAATCACCAGGTAGTTTGAGGCCACATAGGTGCATTTCTACTTGTAAATGAGTAGATAATGCTCATGTTGTTGAGTAATTGTCGAATGATGACGAGCGGAATACTCTATTTAGTCACCGCCCGAACACAATTGGCCGTGCCTGACCTTTGCGATAACATGACCTGTGACTCATATTCAACACTCCCTCAAGTAAAGATCTTTATCTCGTAGTTATCCATACACCATGAATTGGTAAACATCACAGGGTGTACTTCTCATCGGACTATTCCAAATGGCGATGTGTGCAAAAGTATTGAAGCAAATCATTGTATGCCTACAGCAAGGCACAGATCTTGTAAAACACGTTCTATCATGCTTGAGGCGGTATTTGCAATTAAATACCGTTTCATTCATAGAATTTTCTGCATTACTAAACATAGTTTAGCTATTTTTACTATCAGAAACATAATATTTTGTCTACCACTTCGTTAAGATATTAATAAATAGCAATAAAGTGTATATTATGTTGTTTTTACAGGTGTAATTTGTAGTCGAAAGAGAACGAATATGCCAGGCCGGCCGCCATTTTTGCAGGTGCTGGGCGTCGCCATCTTGTCTTACGTCACACTGACAGCTGGGCAGATCAGTGGACAGAATCAGTTACTGGATCCCAGAAGCCAAATTATCCCACTAGACGGTAAGATCTGGAGAAAAATGATAAAATCAATCAAATCATTAGCCTTAAACGAACATAGGATTCAAGGACATAACACCCTGTAAACACACAGTCATACATGTACAAATAGATATTGAATAGTATTGAAAATACAATGTACAATTAATTAAACGTAAGCTTTGAAACAATACGTAATGTAAGCTACATTGAAATATGGAAACATGTCAAAACAATATACTAGAAATTTTAGCATTTAAAGTTTACCGTACATCAAAGTCAATTTTCTGGTAAGTTTCTTTTTAATGTAGCAAGTTGAATCAACCCTATCCCACAGCATATTGATTTTTCATTGGTGGTACAAAAAATAAGGGAATCGTCACATAAAAAAGCTATATAAATGCTTAAAGTATGAAATGATGACGAAAGTGTGCTAAGAAATGGCTGTGAATTTCAATTGCTTACACAAGAATTCCAATTGTTCTGGTTCCCTGAAATTGCATTGGTTGGCGTTCGGTATGTCAACAAACAAACAAACAAACAAACAAACAAACAAACAAACAAACAGACAAACAGACAGACAGACAAAGACAAACAGACAGACAAACAGACAAACGAACAAACAAACAGACAGACAAACAAGCAAGCAAACAAAAAAACAAACAAACTCAACCCTGATGACAATGCCCAACTTTGCTCCCCTAACAGTCCCTCGGCAGGAGCCCCTGATCATCCATGAGCCGAAGGACGTGGTGTACAACCCCGACGGGGAGAAGAAGTACGCCGTCATGCAGTGTGCAGCGATAGGGAATCCCGAACCCACCTACGAATGGGAGCGAGACAGCGTCCCGGTGAGTTCATTAGTCTGTAAGGAAAGGAAAGGAAAGGAGAAGAATAGAAAGAAAAGGAATAGAAAGGAAGGGAGAAGAATGGAAAGGAAAAGAAAGGAAGGAGAGGAATGGAAAGGAAAAGAGAAGAATAGAAAGGAAAGGAGAGGAATGAAATGGAATAGAAAGGAGGGGAAAGGAAAGGACAGGAAAGAAAAGAAAAGGGATGGAAAGGGAAGGAGAAGAATGGAAAGGAAATGAGAGGAATGGAAAGAAATGCAAAGGAAAGGAAAGAAAGTGAAGGAAAGTGATCTCGATCTAGTTTTAGCTCACTGATGAGAACTTGAAGAGCTAATCTCCCACTGGTCATGACATAGAATACAGACGCTATGTACAGTATTTACAGGTTCATTGGAAAGAAAAGGAAATTCGTTGTGGAAATTCTACTAGCCCCTTTCGAAAAGCACATAGTGAACCACATAAGGTTTCGTAGCAATCGTAGAAAAATGAGGAACAAAACATTACCTTTCCTCTTGTTCACACTTAGTGAATATTTCTAAAAATAAGCCAAGAGATTCGTTGGTTTATGTACTAGTTTATAGCTTAAAGTAACGATTTAACGTTACCTCTACAATGGTAAGTTTTCTTCACACTGTCTTTTATATCAAAAGAAGGAACGGTCGGGCCTTCTGGACTACTTTTAAGACCATCAAAACTTGTCTTGTGAACAAAAGAAAAATGACGTTGTGTTGTTATGATCCAATCATCTTCTTTCAGGCTGAGGATCAGCATCTTGTTGAGCCGGGGTCTTTAAAGGATCCAGTAAAAGTATGACATATCAAAGGATGATCATAAATCTTCTGCACTCTCTTTTGTTCGCTATATTCACCGCTTTGAGAGGAAGGCTAGCTATGTATATGCATGGCGAATGCGTGCTTTGGGATACGGGAGAGCGCTTTGGTATGTGGCTTTTGAAGGAATGCGGGATTACAATTTACAGAAGCTGGAACATTATGAAAAACAACACTATGCACTGATGTAGAGGTGACGCTATTATGATGAAAAAAGAATTACACCAAGCACACAAGCCATGCATGTGAATGCTGCTGCATCATGCAATTGCATGGTCGCATTGCCTGGCAGAGGAACGGGTTCAAATATTATAGTTACAGCAAATGTTTGCTCAAGAAATACTACGCTTGCACAGTGTACTACTACTAGTATGTTACATATACTATTCGAGGTAAGGCCACGGCAAGTAAATTTTATGGATGACATCCTCCGCAGACTCCAAATCTAATGCGAGCGGGCGAAAAAAAAACAAGACGGGACGAAAAAACAAGGTTCCTTTATTTTAAAATTTTGACTCAATCATGGTACAAATGGTTTTGATTCAGTGGGAACATCATATATACACAGCCAGCATCACATGTCACTGTATCAAAGTAAGAAACAAAACTAAACATTAAATCAGAGTCTTTTCTTGTCTCCTCTCTTCATAGTTATCTACCATCCACCTTCCGGCATGGCAGCAGACATCTTTGCCCATTTCCGGCATGTTGACCACTGTCATAAGGCAACAAAATTTCTTGTTTTTTCCCCCAAATCAGCCGAAAATTAATGCGCACGCTGATGTCATCAATAAAAATTACTTGCTGTGGCCTAATAAAAGGAATCATTATATGTGTAACATGTTAACACTGCTTGACTTGTCCTTGTCTCATGTATTGTATATCTTCAGGTTGAAGTTGGTGAGAGATATTCCATAGTCGGTGGTAACCTGACTATAATGAACCCCAGTAACTCCACAGACATCGGCAGTTACAGGTGCACCGCTATAAACTCTGTGGGGAAGGAGATCAGTAGAACAGCCACGCTGAAATTCGCATGTAAGTACGTAGCAGATCCTAGGGTGGCAAAAAGACAGTATCAAATTGGACAGGCAGTATTGGCCAGAGAGGGTCCATTTCGCCACCCAAGATCTGCAGAAACTCGCACTGGATAAGGTTAACACGCAGTTGTTACCCAATCAAACCGCGATCAATTCGGGTTTAGGAAGAAGGTGCGCTGGGCGGCCTTGTAAAACTATTTCCGCTACCAGTTCACAAATTGCGGGAAATAGGGGTGGTGGGGGTAGCGACAACAAAAACGGGCCATATATTAAAAGTTAACGATCTTCCCCCATCAACTTCTGCTTGGAGAGTAGTAAGTACGCCTTTGTCCAAGCTTAACATTTAGCCATTGGCTAGGATGTGAAAGTTTGTTGTGGCTATAGTTTAATCTCCAATAAGATCTTTCGGTGGCCCCAAAGACAGTATCAATTTGGCCAGGCTGTATCTTTTGGCAGTATCCATACTGTCTGGCCAATGGATACTGTCTTTGTGGACACCGATAGATCTGATTAGAGATTAGCTATAGTTAACTGCAATAAATTCTATTTCATAGGCTGTACTGAGAGACCTCATGTCAATAGTATAATATGTTCAATTGTCATTGAACAGATAACAACAGATAAAAATGTTTTGTATTTGATGAGTCAGGGACTCAGAAAACTAATTGTAACACAAGGCAATTTTGAGTCATTGCTAACAACTACTTTTTTTCGATCTGAACCTGTTGATGCGATAAAAAACGCGTTCTATTAACGTATTATAAACGTATTCTATTTCTCTAAACGTATTATTGTAGACAAAAGCCGGATTCACGTTTGCCTTTGTGCCCACAGTTATAGGAGAATGGGACAGAACCGCACGAGACCCAAAGACAGTGAATGAAGGGAGCCTGCTGTCAATAACATGTAACCCGCCTACTGCTCATCCAGGTTTGTATGATCTTAAAAACGGACTTTTATACTGTATAAACTGGTTGCATTCTGGAATATTGAACTGTAAAACCTTTTACATACTAGTAGGAGAACTTCTACACGCATACATGCATGGTAGGAGTACCACTACCGATTCAGATTCTATCATGAAGTCCACTCTGTAGTCTTATTTCAATCTTAGAAACTACATGTTAGCGAATAGTTTAACCTTTATTGTTACCACTGATATATATTCTGTATGTAATTTGCCACATACATATATTCTGTACGTAGGATGAAATTATCCATACATGTACTTGTTAGACCTTTAGTTGTAGAAGGCCATAAAAAAGTCCCCGTACTTTTTGTTGTGTCAATAAAGAATCTAATATCTTAGAGACTGCATGTTTAATATCTTATATCTTAGAGACTATATGTCTAATAACTTAGAGACTGCATGTTATAACCCACATGATGAAACGTCTAATGTCCTACTGACATATATTCTGTACGTAGTTTGCTGCATGCATATATTATTTAAGTAGGATGACTTTATCCATACATGTACTTAGCTTTGTTCGATCTTAGTCGTAGTAGACCATACGAAAGTCCCTGTACGTCGATGAAGGTTAGACATCCAGGTAATACGATACTCCAAAAAGCAGTTACTCAAGCAACTGGATATGATTTTCGAAACCGTCAGACGTTTCAGCTAGTATCCACTAGCTTTCGTCAGTCTTTTTGGTGAAAGTCCCTGTACTTTTGTCGAATCAATAGTCATACAAATAATCTAATAGTCATACAAACGTGGACAACCCACAAATCAATAGCTTATATAAACTGTTGAAATAACCAGTCTACTATGTTGTTTCCAGGCCTGAGGTACAGCTGGTACAAAGATGACAACATCGTCATCCCCGATCACCGCGCGCATGTATCTGACCTGACCGGTGACCTGTACCTCGCCTCTGCCCGGGAGTCCGATGCCGGGTCCTACCGATGCCGTGCCACGAGCGCCGCACCGAACGCTAACTCCAACGGGAACACGGAAAACCAGTACGGGCCCCCAACCCGTGTTACTGTCACCAATCAACAAAGTACGTTCACGTTTTAAGAATTAGTTACTAAGAGCTAAAACTTTTGTTCAAAAACAAGAGATTTTTCTCATCTAGAGCTTTCAACCAGTCACTCAGATCTTATTCAGTAGACTGACCCAGTGAGTCTTTTGACATCGAATACCGGATACCTTTGACCCAATGTTAACGTCACACTTCAGAGAAGCCACGTGACAAGTCTCACTGGGTCAGTCTATTGAAGAAGACCAGAGTGACTGGTCAAAAGCACTAGGTGAGAACAATCTCTTGCGTTGGAACAAAAGTTTTAATTCTAAACTAATAACTACCAACAGAGATGAACTTTCATGATAGAATGTTATGTTATTGGTAGCGTTTGTGTGTTCAGCATGATATCTCAAGATGCTATATGAATGGATTGTCATAACACTTAGTAGATCTGTAGGTCGTAATGACAACTGGACATGATTAGATTTTGGGCTGGCGGCTTGTTTAGGTTCCAATACATCTCCAGATGTTACCCTTTGTTACATAATGTTAGTCACAAACAGGTATGCACAGTACGAAACGTTTAGAGGAACTTTATTCCAAGTAAAATATAGATCTTTGATTCGAATGCTTCACAATTTTGACCAAGGAGGGTATAACCCCCTGCTTTTTGAAGTATTTGTTTCTTATGATGTTTAAACCAGGCTAATTCTAACTCTCTGGCCCACAGATCTGTTTGACACCCAGCCCACCATGGCCTTCCGAGTGGAGGACGTGACTGTCGTCAGGAATCCCACTGCGGAGGAGGACGAGGAATCCTCCGTCACCATAGAATGTTTCGCTACTGGAAGGTAAAACATTTCCCTGTATCAGATAAGGGCACTGTAACGTTTATTCTTTTAAATTAGTTTACTGGTGATAAGATTAAGAATGTATATCTCTGGTTACACTTTTTGAATACGAATGCGGAGTTGAATTAATTGTTTTATTGAAAATTCATGCCCAAGGGCTAATTGCAAGTAGAGAAGAAAGATTTGGTATAAGAACAGGCAATTAATACACAAGAACTACTGTTAACTCCTAAAAACTCCCACTTTTTCTGTAATTTGTGGGTGAATAAAATGCTCCTTACATGCGTACGTTCGAAGCTATAGCTCACGGTCCCTTGCTGCATTCATAGAGAAAGAAGGCACCAAACACTTAAAATTTAGCCCGAAAACACCCGATCACTTCACGGAAGTTTGTGTCCTGTGAACTTGTTTATTTCTTGTTTGCAAAACATTGAAACAGGGCAACTATAGTTGGTTACAGGTATTATTTATTTCATTATCCTGTCTGACATTATACCATGCCCACAGACCGATTCCGACAATATCGTGGGAGAGACTAGACGCCCCCCTCCCACCGAAGGCCAGACCCTCCAACTCCAAGTTAGTCATCACTGACGTCACACAAGATGAAGCCGGGACGTACAGATGTACAGCCAGGAACAGCTTAGGATCTGTGAGCGACGAGGCCAGGATCATCTTTAACTGTAAGTGGTTACAACTGCTATTATTTTTCAGTCATTGATTTATCTTATTATGTTTACCGAAGGAAAACATATTGTTTTTGCTCTGTTTCTTCCTCTTCTTGCTCTCCAAACAGTGACCTCTGACCTAGCCAATGACATGATTTGTTGACGTCTGTCACAATTGAGACTGGTGTTGGGTTACATAATGTTGCAATTTCACTGTCTGCTCTGATCCTGTCACCATATACTAGAAGTACATGTATGTGAACGTGTTTGAGTAAGAATTAACAGAGCAGACCATGTCCGAAGGTAAACATTATGCATTCTTTGCAAATGTTACTTCTCTAGTTGGATTTAAGATAAACGCATGAATCAGTATATAAGTTCGTCAGACAGTAGTTGTATGTTCTCTACTGCTTTACTTTACTTCTTCGATCGATCCTGTATAAGTCGCAATGGTCTTCGGACATGATTTTGCCAATAGAAATTTACTTTATAAAACATACCAGTTTAAAGAATAGTACTAGTCATCTGTTAAAGCTAATGAATTGTCATGGTTTTCTACATTTTCGGAATAGTCGGCTTATGTTAGATAATCACAAAACTTTTAAAACGTTACAGATATCAATGGTGATAATATTTTTTACCTTCTTTCCAGCACCTCCGGAGTTTCTTGATTTCATTCCGCCTGAATCCAAGGGAATTGGAGAACGTGTAATTTTTCAATGTCCACCTGTACGGGGAACTCAACCATTAAGGTATTAACAACACAATTGGCATCGTTGATTTGCATTATCTCTTGGAAGACATGGCGCCTTTGCAAAACACTCTACACATGCAAGCTGCCTTTATACGTAAAAATATGACAACAAAATATTATATTAATTTGATTGTCACAAGAAAGCTTTACATGTAGACAATCTGATGACAAGTATTATTAGATTTGATTGTCATTAATTTTGTTGTTCATGTATAGTGTTTTTCGCCTCAATAAAGTCTATAAGTATAACTATATGTATTATACATTTACAATTGAATACAACAATGGTCATGTATTTCATTTTAGTGTGGGGTATGGGGAAAACTATGCTTTACCAGGGCTCGAATTTATTTTTGGGAATAGGTGCACTGGTGTACCCAACCTAAAACATTAGGTGCACAAAATTTTTTGGGGGTGCACCATATAATACCTTGCTGCTCCTCTTCTGAGCTTGAATGTGAAATGAGAGCTAACTTCAAAATCTTAAACAAGTACTACAACAAAGATTTTATTATTTTTCTGAAACTTAGATGCTAGGAATGTCCTGCACACTACATGTATATTATCATTGCTGTATTCTTTTTCTCTGTTTATCCATGACCTGTACTTAGCTTGTTATGGCGCGGTCACATTTCCCAACCCGGGGCCCGGCCGGGCAGTCGTACGGAACGAAAATTATGATTTTAGACAGCAATCCACAAAAAAAGCTTTAGAACATTAACCACGAGCACTTTTTGTGTATACTCTTAATACGAATTGTTTCTTTTTCGTTCACGCAAACAACCCGGCCGGGCCCCGGCTTGGAAATGTGACCGTGCCATTAGAGCACAAACGTACAATAAAGCTCTTTCATTCATTCATTCATTCATTCATTATAATTTGATATGTCCAAATACCTATAAAAATATTTGGGTGCACCAGTGCACCCACAGCTCCAAATTTGGTGCACAGCTCCAAATTTGGGTGCACTATTAGGTGCACATGCACCTAGTATTTCGAGCCCTGTTTACAGATGCTTCTGGGGAGCCGAGTAGCAAGCTAGCACGTGACATAAGCAAACAGGCAATATGTATCTTCTACCTTCTACCATCCTTACTAGGTACACGTGGTTTGCCGACGACCAGGCCATCACGAGTGACATCCGGATCAAGGTGGGAGCGAGCACGCTAACTATCAACAACATCCGGGAGTCTGACCACGGGCGGTACCAGTGTCACGTGCAGAATGAGTACGGTACAGCACAAGTCTCAGCCGAGCTGTCTGTCAGAGGTAAAACTGTCAGTGCCATTCACCAATTTCACACTTCCCATAATGCCTAGTAACGGTCATGGATATGCAGGGATATGGCGTAAGACCATCCCCCTCCCCCTTCCTCGATGTAATATTTCCAACAAATTCTATCGACAAACTGGTCAACTATTTTTTTGAATTATCTATCTAGTATAAAGCACATGCCATAATTGCATTTTTGTTGGAATTAGAGAAAATGACGTACCTTCTATCGTTCCACCTTCTACCGAAGACTCTCATACTCGCACGGTCGCATGCATTACCGAGTAGTAGAGTCTTCGGTAGAAGGTGGAACAATAGAAGGTACGTCATTTTCTCTAATTCAAACAAAAATGCAATTATGGCATGTACTTTATACTAGATAAATAATTCAAAACAATAGTTGACCAGTTTGTCGATAGAATTTGTTGGAAATATTACATCGAGGAAGGGGGATGGTCTTACGTCATATCCCTGCATATCCGTGACCGTTACTAGGCATTATGGGAAGTGTGAAATTGGTGAATGTGATGAAACATGGAGATGTGTACATTTGAAGATTCCATTTTTATATATCAACAATTTCTCTGATAGTGCTACTGTCACTCAAAAGGATCACCTCTACTGTCATTTTATATCAACTCTCAAATTCCTGCTATGACATATATGACCCTCTGATTGGTTGACCGGTTTCATCGTCATCATCAGTGACATTTGTCAGTGACATATAATCTGCCCTTGTATTGCATCTTGGCAGTGACTGACTCCTTGTTTGGGTGACCGGTTGTTTGACATTTGTCGTTTGTTCGTTAGTGACATTAGTCAGTGACGTATAACCTGCCCTTGTTGTATGGCATCTTGGCCATAATGTCATCTTGGCAGTGACTGATTCCTTGTTTGGGTGACCGGTTGTTTGACGTTTGTTGTCCGTTGGTTAGTGACATTAGTCAGTGACGTATAACCTGTCCTTGTTGTATGGCATCTTGGCAGTGACTGATTCCTTGTTTGGGTGACCAGTTGTTTGACGTTTGTTGCCCGTTGGTTAGTGACATTAGTCAGTGACGTATAACCTGTCCTTGTCGTATGGCATCTTTGCAGTGACTGACTCCTTGTTTGGTTAGCTGGTTGTTTGACGTTTGTTTTCCGTTGGTTAGTGGTTAGTGACATTAGTCAGTGACGTATAACCTGTCCTTGTTGTATGGCATCTTTGCAGTGACTGACTCCTTGTTTGGGTGACCGGTTGTTTGACGTTTGTTGCCCGTTGGTTAGTGACATTAGTCAGTGGCGTATAATCTGCCCTTGTATTGCATCTTGGTAGTGGCTGACTCCGTGTTTGGGTGACAAATTGTTTGACATTTGTCGTTTGTTCGTTAGTGACATTTGTCAGTGACGTATAACCTGCTCTTGTATTGCATCTTGGCAGTGGCTGGCTCCTTGTTTGGTTGGCTGGTTGTTTGACGTTTGTTTCCGTTGGTTACCGGTTAGTGACATTAGTCAGTGACGTATAACCTGCCCTTGTTGTATGGCATCTTGGCAGTGACTGACTCCTTGTTTGTGTGACCGGTTGTTTGACGTACGTTGTCCGTTAGTTAGTGACATTTGTCAGTGACGTATAACCTGCCCTTGTTGTATAGCATCTTGGCAGTGACTGACTCCTTGTTTGGGTGACCGGTTGTTTGACGTTTGTTGTCCGTTAGTTAGTAACATTTGTCAGTGACGTATAACCTGCCCTTGTTGTATTGCATCTTGGCAGTGACTGACGCCTTGTTTGGGTGATCGGTTGTTTGACGTTTGTTTTCCGTTGGTTAGTGATGTTTGTCAGTGGTGTATAACTTGCCCCTATGCTTCTTGTAGCTTGTGTGGGGTATTCATTGTTGATCACTGCGTATGGCTGAATATGGCTGAAACTGTGGCCCTGGGTCTTCATCATGTGTCACTGCATGTGCCTCGTTTCTAGCCTCGTTTGTGGCTCCAAACTCAGATTGCTTCCTTACTGGAATACAGGTGTATTGAACCTTATGTTAAATAGCCGGATGTAATGTCTACTGCATACATGATACATTTTATGCTTGAATGATTAATAATACATTTCATTTTCACAATGCTCTTTTTAAGGTCTGAGGAGCATGCATTTTAATGGGATTGGCCAATTCCGTCATTTCAAAACATAAAGACATAAAGTTTACTTTTTCAAAATTTTGAGTCCAGGACACATCTAGTATATATAGTTGAATAACAATATCATACTATAGCTAGAGCTGATGCAAACTACATCGGGTGGCATAGTTAGTGGAAATGTGCTTTGGCATGCAATCCATATTTTTTCATTGTGAACCATGAAGTGTGGAAAATTTCATAATAACATTAGTTTATAAGGTAAATCTTGTTGATCCTGTGCACAAGATAAATTTTGTTGATCCTGACTTGTACATATTTTGGAAGGGTATTATTATTAGATTTTGGATTAAGCATGGACATTGTAGTGAGAGTAGTTTCGTCAGTGGATTAAGTTTTAATATTCAACACTTGAACAGAGCTGCCAGAAATTAATCCTACCACTTTCAGACTGTATCTCTTTGATCTGCAAGCTCTCTTTCCTTGATGAGTGGAATACAATTTGGATACATGTACTCAGTCTGAATAGAAAAAGTTTAATGGAATTCTTCTCCATCTCGCCTACACAAGACTCAGTTCCGGATACATTACACAACTTGCTGGTGTCGTTTGGTCAGACCTCTAAGGCATATAGTGTACATAATTTGTTTTAGGGTTTATTTAGACGAAATGAAAATATATCGTAAGCTGGGCTGTGTTTTAATGCATGTTAGATGTGTTGTCCTTAGTCCCAGGCTGTTTGTAAGTTGTGTTCTAAAGGATTGTGGTTTTGAGAAGTGCTGTCTAAACTCTCAGGCTGTCCTTGAGCTGTACATGTATGAGTCTTACAGCGTTCGAGTTTAGCTGTGCTTTTATGCACCAGTGTGCTGTGAGCCACTCCTGTACAGCGTTTCACTAACACTCAGGGACACTTACCAAGAGTAGTTTCCTCAGTGGATTAAGTTTAAATATTCAACACTTGAACAGAGCAGCCAGAAATTAATCCTACCACATTCAGACTGCATCTCTTTGATCTGCAAGCTCTCTTTTCTTGATGAGTGGAATACAATTTGGATACATGTACTCAGTCTGATGAAAAAGTTTAATGGAATTCTTTCTCCATCTTGCCTACACAAGACTCACTTCCGGGTACATTACACATCTTGCTTGTGTTGTTTGGTCAGACTACTAAGGCATACAGTGTTGTTTTAGCGTTTATTTAGACAAAATGAAAATATGTCGTCAGCTGGGCTGTGTTTTAATGCATGTTAGATGTGCTGTCCTTACTCTCAGGCTGCCCATGAGCTACACGTTCTAAAGCATGTGAGATATGCTGTCCTTACTCCCAGGCTGTTCGTAAGCTGTGGTCTAAAGGATTGTGGTTTTGCGATGCGCTGTCTAAACTCTCAGGCTGTCCTTGAGCTGTACATGCATGAGTCTTACAGCATGTGAGTAGTTTAGCTGTGCTCCTCTGCACCAGTGTGCTGTGAGCCACTCCTGTACAGTGTTTCACTGACACTCAGGACCTCCTTCCCCTCGTCCATTCCATAAGGACCGCTGCTGCTGTCTCTTGTTGATGGACAGCCTCTCTCATAGTTTGGCTCGATGTTTACATCTTTTGGCAGTGACTGACCCTCTGATTGGTTGACCGGTTGTTTGACGATTGTTTCATCATCATTTGTATTGACATATAATCTGCCCTTGTATTGCATCTTGGCAGTGACTGACTCCTTGTTTGGGTGACCAATCGTTTAACATTTGTTGTTTGTTCGTTAGTGACATTTGTTAGTGACATATAATCTGCTCTTGTATTGCATCTTGGCAGTGACTGACTCCTTGTTTGGGTGACCGGTTGTTTGACGTTTGTTGTCCGTTGGTTAGTGACATTAGTCAGTGACGTATAACCTGCCCTTGTTGTATGGCTTTTTGGCAATGACTGATTCCTTGTTTGGTCAGCTGGTTGTTTGACGTTTGTTGTCCGTTGGTTAGTGATATTTGTCAGTGACGTATAACCTGTCCTTGTATGGCTTTTCGGTAGTGACTGACTCCTTGTTTGGGTGATAGGTTGTTTGACGTTTGCTGTCCGTTGGTTAGTGATATTTGTCAGTGGTGTATAAACTGCCTCTATATCGCTTCTTGGAGCTTGTGTGCGATCTTCATTGTTGATCACTGCGTATGGCTGAAGCTGTGGCCCTGGGACGTCATCATAGGTCACTGCATATGGCTGAAGCTGTGGCCCTGGGTCTTCATCGTGGGTCAGTGCGTATGGCTGAAACTGTGGCCCTGCGTCTTCATCGTGGGTCACTGCATATGGCTGAAGCTGTGGACCTGGGTCGTCATCGTGGGTCACGGAATACGGCTGAAGCTGTGGCCCTGGGTCTTCATCGTGGGTTACTGAATATGGCTGAAGCTGTCGACCTGGGTCTTCATCGTGGGTCACTGCATATGGCTGAAGCTGTCGACCTGGGTCGTCATCGTGGGTCACTGAATATGGCAGAAGCTGTGGCCCTAAGTCTTCATCATAGGTCACTGCATACGGCTGAAGTTGTGGCCCTGGGTCTTCATTGATTAAGGTTGTTGCATATGGAAAAAGCTTGCCATTTGTCCCCTTCCCTGACACATCAACATAGGACACAGCATATGGTTGGATGTCATCATCGTATGGCTCAATGTCATTGTCGTCTTCTATTGTCTGGATGTTAGCAAAGGACGTATTTGCATATGGCGCAAGCTTGCCGTTTTTTCCTTTCCCCGACACATCCATGTATGACACAGCGTACGGCTCGATGTCATCGTTGTCTTCTAGTGGCTGGATGTTACCAAAGGATGTCGTTGCGTATGGCGCAAGCTTGCCGTTTTTTCCTTTCCCCGACACATCCATGTATGACACAGCGTACGGCTCAATG